TCATGCATTTACATAACTTCTGTTCATGGGACGGGTACTCCAGCTATTTATTAATAAACTTCTTCAGTAACTGAATAAAATATTTTTCTAGGCATTGTTTATACATATCAATTCCAGAGACAATAGGTCTGACAAGACTACCTTCTTTTGTGAATCATAGGAATTCTATATAATATAGTTTGGTGTGAACCCACCACACATATGGGTTTGTAAACAGTTTCATTAATGATCCCCCTATTATTTAAGTTTCCCTAAACTGTAAAGACAGTCCATGAAACAACCAACACTTCAGGATATGTCTCAAAGTACAGAATGGGATAAACCTATGAACTCGTAAAACTATCACAATAAAACTGAGGAAACCAGCCATTAACAAGTGGGAACAAGGGTTTCCATTTTTGCTAAAACTGTAAATTTATACTTTTTGTAAGATTTACCCTAAATTGGTATGAAAAGGTCTAGATTAAAAAAATAGGTTTTAAAAAGTTCTTGTTTACCAGTCTATAAATAAAATACCACAACACTGAAAATAATGTAAAATAAACAAATAGTTATGAAAAGGGGAACTTATTTAAAAAACACACAAGAAATAAAACCACATTACTTGTTATTGGCTCTCAACCCCATTCAGGGAAGATTGTGATATGCGGGGAGGGTAAAAAGGTTTAACTTGTAAATAAAATCTTTGTACTGAAAGTTTTGTTCAGTATGGTTATGATTTAGTGAATTATGAATTTCATTTGATAAAAAAAGAAAATTCATAGACACTTCAAACCATAATTGTAAGAATAAAGAGTAAAATATTATTTTAAAAAACATGGTCTCTGTGGTTAATAATGACCAGATGCCCTTTGACCCTGATTTATGCTCTGTAATTTCAACTGTGTGAAAGGCTATTTGTTAGAAAAGATACAAGTGATCAAGTGAATATCATGAAAGATCTGACAGTTTTTTATTTTGTAGGATTTTTAAGGTTAACTGCTATAGGTGAAAAATTAACATAATAGAAAATATTATGTGAACAGAAGTCAGAATATGAATCTTCCTTGTTATTTGTCTTTTTTTGTTATCAACATGAGAAGAAAATATATGAGGTTTGGCAGAAAATTAATTCAACGTGACTAATAGACAAATATTTAACATGATTTTTTATATCTTATCAGCATATGAAAACACAGAAATGTAAGTTTAAAGGTTTAACCTTTGATATTAATGTGTTCTAATATTGTGTTAAATAAGGTCATGTATTTTATCAGATAAGAGTTTGTGTACTTATAGTTATGTACACTGTTTTTGGAATGTATCATTCTATTTTGCTTTATTTATTTAAGAAGGTTTTTAGTACATTGAGACATTCTGAAGTGAGTGAAACAAGTTTGTACAATAGTGTGGATTTACCTAATTTTGGTCTGGATTTTATGAAAAACTGCCAGGGAAATGTTTATCATTATTTCTTAGTAAGAGGTTGTGAGATTTCAGAAAATCAAAATGCAGACCTTTATGTATGCATTAAACATCTTTATGAGAAAATTCATTAAATAATAAATATAGTTTTCCATTATATTTTAAGTACTGTGTGTATGCAGTGGCATAAAGTGCTTAAGGTATTAAAGGAATTAGGCCTTTTTTTTAGGTCTAACTAAAATGATTAAAACCCTTCTTGAAGATAGTTCTTCATGTTCCTCCTAATTAATTCATTGTTTCCAGTCACAAATTCTCAGCATTTGCCTGCAATAGTTTTAACTCAGCTGATAAGTTTTGGTACTGAATGAAAGGCTTTCTGAATTTTGACTTGTTTCAAACAAAAGATGGATCTGAGTCACTATTTTCCTGTATCTGATTCAAAATCCATAACAGACTAAATACACATCTTCTTACCCAGTATGGAATTAACGTTATGCTAACAAAATGTGTGTGTTATATTTCTGTTGATTGGTTTTGAATTTTCTAGCTTAATCTATTACATTATATTGTTCTTTGTGAAAGGCATTCCTCTTAATATTATACTTTAATAGCATGTTTTATAATTCCTTGTCAATGCTACCATTTTGCCTTCAATATATATTGAACTAATGTTATGTATCTGTTGTTTCTATCACACTGGAAGCATTTGGTAACTTTCGTTTTGTTAGTATGTCTTCTCATTATTTGCACACATAAATAAGACATCATTTAAGAGTAACACTACTACAAATAATAAGTATATAATAATAATCCTTCTTTGAGATCAGTAGATTCTGCCATCTTTTCTGTACTGTTTTTCATCAGTTTGCATGTATACATGAGTTTAAACTCGTTGGTCTTCCCTTCTTCTAGCGGCCAATGTCTTATTATCAGAAATGGGAGATGTAAAGTTAGCAGATTTTGGTGTGGCTGGACAGTTAACTAATACAACCAGTAAAAGGAACACTTTTGTTGGAACCCCATTTTGGATGGCACCAGAAGTTATTAAACAGGCTGCTTATGACTCAAAGGTTTGTAACAGGTTCCTTGGTTATATAAACTTTCTTTCTACTGTTCTAAGCTTTTAACACTATTATGACTATCAAGAGTAGAATTGCACCATTGAATTAAAAAATAATTATGGAAAGGTATCTTGTAGTCATTCTTCCAAAAATAAAAACAAAAAATTTCAAAGTTGAAGTTTATTCAATAAAAGGTTTCATTCATTTAATTTTAAATGCAATATTGTTTTTAATCACAAAATTCTAATTTTGGGTTGATTTCAGCATGCTCCAAATGAAAACTTTAGTGTTTGTGAATTTACTGAATTTATTCTGAGCATAATACAGCATTTATAGCCTCCTATGAGAGATTTTAAAATAGGTTTGAACAAAAAAAGTGCTAATTTTAATGTTGTAACTGTAATACAAGCATAGTTTTATCAGTTTTTTCCAATCACTGTTTCTCAACCTCAATTGTCATGGGATAATTGAATTGCTTGTATCCCAGTTTTGGGAAGTCAGAGGCAGGTTATCTAAACACTCAAAATCTTTTTCTTAAGCTTGAGAAAAGCTGGCTTCATTTTGTACTTCAATAGAATTTTGATTTTGTAGTATGGTAAGAAATGTTTTTCATGGCACAAGATGAGGTAGCCATAGGTCATTTTGCACTTGACCATGTCAAGTTTCATTTCACCGAAAAGGCTGTTGATTAATAATTTTACAACGAAATTGGGTTTGCTTATAATTTACTTATTTTTATTGTAAACCAACAATCCAAAAACACAGTGAAACTGTGTGTGTTGTTTTTCAAAAATCAAAACAGAGATAAAGTTTACAAGAATTATGGGACCACATAAAAAATCAGCAATTGGAATCTGCAATAAAGATAAGCACATTTATTTCTTTTGTAAAAAACAACAAAAACTTATAATGATGAAATCTTTTTGAATTTTCAAAGCTGTGAGTTCATACAAATATCACATATAAAATAATATATATATATACAGAAAATACATAATCTGTAGAAAGTTCTTTTCAAGTTTCAAACAATTTCCTCCAGGATTTTATTTGGTTGTAATAAAACAAATTATACACACAGTGTGATTTGAATCAATACAAAAGTTTAACTAGTTAATGTTTGAGATTTGTAGGATTCATATCAAGCCAGAGCATTTATGTTGGTTGATTTTTTTTTTTTTATAAGCCAGACTTGTGTACTCTTACAGACTTTTTTTTTTAGAAAATATGCAAATATTAAAAGCCAGTTAAAAATTTATTTGAAGACCAGATGATATTTGAACATGTTGATTTAAGTATATAGGTTGTTTGAATAAGCTTGATTCTAGTTTGTTCATTTCAAGAATTTCTACAGGTTTGAAGAATTATTTCTGTCTTTCAACATACTTTGGAAGTTATGATTATTTTTTAAATACTTATTTATATGTGTGATAAGACAAGTTAGTTAACCAAAGTGGTACCAGTAGTAACCTAGTTGTGATGTAGTTTGTATTAAATGTTTTGTTTTCTAAACTTTCAGTTTTGTTCTTTTCTTGGGTGCTAGTTTTAGCTCTCTAAACTAAGCCTCCATGAAATACTATATGACAGTACATCATATATTTTGTTTATTAGAGAATGACATAAGTGCTTAAGAAAGTTCTACAAAATTTGTCAGTTCTTTCAAACCTTAATAGTGTTTTTGTAGTAATTTTGTGTGATTGTATATCCTCTTATAACTAAATAAATAGAACAAATACAGTACAATATATTTCTTTCTACTAACAGGCAGATATTTGGAGTTTAGGGATAACAGCCATTGAGTTAGCTAAAGGTGAACCACCTAATTCTGACCTCCACCCCATGAGAGTCTTGTTTCTTATTCCCAAAAACAATCCACCTCAATTAACTGGGAATTATAGCAAGCAATTTAAGGAATTTGTGGAGGCTTGTTTAAATAAGGACCCTGAAAATGTAAGTCTTCATATTTTTGTGAAAATATGTAATATTTAACTTCATGAATACCCATCATACCACTGTTTTTTGTTGCTATTATTATTGTTTTTCTTTATCCAAAACAAGTTATTCTTATGTCAAAATGTTTTTAATTGCTTTTATTTATTTTGTAAAAGTAGAAAGGTTTTTCATTGAGATTTTACTCTCTTTTTTTTTTTCAGTTCTATACATAAAAGAAATCTTGTTACTTTCTATGTGTTTTATGTTCTTAGTAATGAGATCTCAGTCAACAGCAACTTAATAACCTTTAGCATTTTTAGGTGTTAAAATAACTGTTGAAAGTTTAGTAAGATAACTCTAAAACATCGTTGTTTTGAAAGCATTATAATTCAGGGATCAAGCTTTTTGTTACATTTATTGTGATATAATTAATAAAGTTATTTGGCATGAACAGTAGTTAAAAAGTAGGCATAATTGGTGGATGTGACCATAATAACAGAGTGGACTATTCAAGAAATAGGAGAGATGAAAGAAAAAAAGTATAATTAACTTTTAGAAACCTTTCTTTCCAATGAATTAAAAACATGCTGTTTTTATCTTCCCTGCTGCAAAAGTTTATTAGTTTGAAAGAAAATCTTCAATATATGGAACACAAACATTAAACATACTACAGTAAATTATAACTTGGGACTTTTTTCAAACCTAAGAATAAAACCTAAAATTTGTTTTCATGAATTAAAGTATATATTTGGACAAAGTTATTTAAAAACAAAGTTCTTAAATATAAAGCTAATTTGAGAATTCTTAAGCTGTTGTGTTTTTATACTAGATTGGGGTTCGTATTTTAGCTGTTATTAGAACTCTTTCATAGAAAACCACATTTTAAGTATGTTATGATTATAACTACGATAAGAGGCTTATCAATAATTAGTGAATAATTTCAAGTGGTACGAAAACTTAGTGAAGAGAATGAGAATATTATGATAAAGAAATTTTAATGCTTGACAGAAAAGAACAAAACATTTGTTCTGGTTGTTTTTAACTAAGTCAATAAAGAATGATTTTAATAATGCTGTTATTGAAACTACACATTACATATCAACTTACAGTCGAAGCAAATTGTGTACCTAGAATGAAACTAAAAATCAATTTGACAATCAGCATAGCTAATTAAGTATATTTTTCTTAAATTCCTACTTATAAAGATTAGGATGCATTGTTTCATTATTTGTGTATCTTAAAAGGTTTGGTCAGTTTAGGAGATTCAGGTAAGTTCTAAATACATATGTTAAGCTAACAATGCAAAACAATATCCATAATAAAAGTATAACAATAAAAAAATAAAGTGAAACAGTAATAACATTCAGTTTATTAAATAGCCTAACCATTTCTGTTAATGAAAGTAACAATAAATATATCATGTAGTATATCTGATCTAGGGAACACAGAAATACTAGTTGTTTACTTGAACTGATGTCATAGAATTAACTTTCTTTGCAAAATTAACAATTAACATCAGTATAACATGCCTGATTTTTCTCCACTTCTTCTTAACATGCATTTTGACCAGTGAAACTTATTAACTCACTCAGCAGTGTAAGTTTAGGGGAGAGTGGCATCTGTGACAAATTTGAAACAACACATTACTATTTAAACTGTGTTGAGTTAGTAGCAGTAACTTAACTATAGTACAACCAAAAACAAATTTTGATAAAGGTTCAAAATAATAAACTATTAGAATATCCGATTCATCCATGAAAATATAATAATGGTAAATGTTAAACAATATCTGTAACATATTACGAGGTGCATCTAACACTTATCTCTTTTACTTAAACTAATGTCTTACACTTAACAAACACAGAACTGGGTAGAGGAAGTAATAAGTACTATTAAATCTTGTGTAAAAGCCAAATAGGAAATACTATAATCCTCTCAAAAATTAAATAATAAGGCTTAGATAGGAAAGTTACAACACTCAATATCGCAAAGAAAGTAATTATCAAAAACTAATGTAACAAAACTAATTAAATCATGTCGTAATATATACTGAACTATTATGTAGCTATTATTAACTTTATATGTATACTGAAAACTTTCATCTTAATGATGATATCTAAATACACGTGTTGTGTGTTTGTACTGAAAGAACATTATTCTAAAATGATTGGTGGATAAATTTTTTTTGGTTGTGTCCAGAAAACTTTGATAATTAATTCAGTATAAGAATATCATTTATATATCTTTTTAAGTGTAAAAACTTGCCTATGTTTAAATTTCATACATGGCCAGGTGGTTAGGGCACTTGACTCACAATCTGCAGGTTGTGGGTTCAAATCCCCGTCCCACCAAAGGTGTTTGTCCTTTCAGCCATGGGAGCATTATAATCTGATGGTCAATCCCACTATTCATTGGTAAAAGAGTAACCCAATAGTTGGTGGTGGGAGAAAATTATGTATATAAAAAGTCTTTCATTCTTCAAACTTTTGGTTGCATTAAAAATACATCCAAGGTTAACTTCATGCAATCTGATTCTGGTCTTTGTCATTAAATTATAAAAGATATGAGTAGTTTCTCCTCTATCTTGAATTTGACTACAAGTCCTGTTTTTAGACGTGTTTTAGTATAATACTACTACAGTGAAGTTCAACTCGAACTTAAAATTGCTCTTTTACTTCATATAGTAAACACTGCAATTGTTTTGAATTATGTGTTTATTTATTCACTTATTTTTTAATTTAATCTAGAGGCCCACAGCAAAAGAACTTCTCAAGTTTCCCTTCATCAGGAAAGCTAAAAAGAATTCATATCTGATGGACCTAATCGAAAGATACAAGAGGTGGAAAGCTTCTGGTGGTGGACAGAGTGACAGTGACTCTGAAACCTCAGACTCGTAAGTTCTTTATTAAAACTTTATTTTATTAGGAACTTGCAAACAAAAGTAAGCTAACTATAGCCCAATCTATAATCACTTAGATAAGTAACTTGTACATTAATAAATGCAATTCTGTATAACAAACTGATTATAATAATGGCTGGAGACGGCTTGAATGGGTAATGAAGAAAAACTTTAATATAAGTTTAACATAATAGCAAATGTTCAACGTTTCAACAAGGTTTTGTCATCATCAGGACAAAACGTTGTACATTTGCTGTTATATTAAACTTATATTAAAGTTTTTCTTCATTACCCATTCAAGCCGTCTCCAGCCATTATTAGTCTCAAAGTGGGTTCTTCGTCATCAAAACTGATTATAAATATTATATATCAATGCATTTGAAAACTTGTGATGATTTGATTGCATTGAATCATCATATAGGTAATATCAATGTTGGTGTTTTCGTGACTCTAATCTATGGTTTCAAAGTTAATATTACTAATAAAGGTTTGTCCAAAAATTAACTCTTATGTGCACAGGTGGGGATCAAAGCGTGAATGCGATGACCTTTTATAGAGTGCCATTCAACATGGTATTATGTATTTGATATCAGAGTTATCAACTATTCATTTTGCCATACATTACTGATTTAGCAATAGTTCATGGTAAAGGAGAGTAAATACCTGATACAATATACAGGGACAGTGAAAAAACCAAACTTGTGCATTTCAGAGGTTCTAGTGGTTATACAAATACAATGTGTAAACTGTACGATGGACAAAAGTACCTTTACTCTTTACATAAACATTACCTTGCACACCGACTTGCCGGAGTCAGACAGACGTCGTCAATATATTGTTGTGTACCTCTCACTTGTATGGTAACTTAAGTGTTTTATTTTGGGATGATCATAACAATGTTATACACCGAGGTAGTTTTCAATCAAATAACTGTGTCAGTAAATGCATTGGTTTCTGACATAACTTTAATAATTATTTCTCATCACTCATAATGCACAAACTTAAGGTGCTAGATTTTGCCTAAACAAAATGATTGATGTTAGGTAAGGATGCTGATCTGTACTGTAAGTTGGGTCTGGGCTAAGTTGTTTAATCATTTACATTAGGAAACAATGAACCTTTTACAAAGATACAGGAGCAGCTAATTACTGTCATAGGTATCATTTTCCAACTACAGAAATGATACGATTATTATAATTTAGCGTGAAAATTTAAAAAAATCTGATCTTAAACAATATGCCTTAATATTATAGATGTATAATATAGGGTGAAATGGGACTTGTCTCCCTCGTCCCAAATTGACACCTATGATCTTTAAGTTCTTTTTAAAGCATTATACAAATAGCAAATTCTGTAATACATTAACCCAATTCCTTCTAGAACTTTATATAGACGTGATAATATTTCAAAACACCTTAAACACAGTAAAGGAGAGTGGTTCTACTTTTAAGTGTGTTACAGGTTAGTCTTATTTCATAGATGACATCTATATTTTGGGTAATGAAATACACCATGTTGACTGTAGCAATCATGTATAATAAACCAGTCAGGATAAATCTTAGTTGGTAGATAACATCTACATTTTATGTTATACTGTACACTAAGACGACTGTAGAAACCATGTGTAACAAACCAGTCAGGATAAGTCTTATATGATAATTACATTTACATTCTGTATTATACAAAACTGGTCTGTGTAATTGTAAATAATAAGATATATTTTATGTGGTTTTCTTATATAAATACAATCATCAATATAAATCTGAACTAGAAAAAAGTACAAGCCTTGAGTCCGTAAAACTCTTAGTTTTTTTTCCTCACATTATAATTCTGAAAGGAAAACCAAAGGCAAAATAATTTTATCAATGCAAATTGGCATTTGATGAAAATTTTTTATGTGAATGACTGTAGTAAGGTTTGATTAAAACCAGTTGAAGTATTGATTCACTAAGATATCTCAAAAAGCAGTGCCAGGAGTTGTTTACAAGTTATGTTAGGGGGCTAAAAACTGAAAGAAGAAAATTACTTGGAAGTTAGCAGCCCTAAGAAAATTACCTAATGTGATAGTTCATCATCATAAATCTTCCAGTCTGGATCTCCATCCCAACATTCTTTTTTAGACACACACGTCATCTGCTGCATCACTGTGTGTATGGTTTTGATTTTTTTTTTTTCAAATACAATTTATAAATTCTGAAAAGGGTTGCCTTGTAATTCTCGGACTTGGCAACTTTACTGAATAGCTTCTGATTTACTTTCATATCCCCCCCCAAAAAAAAATATTTGAGAAAGGGTTCAATAAGACGGTTAATTTTTCCTTTGTGAGATTAATTTAACAACCTCATTATTTAATTATCATACATGTAAGACAATAAACACAATACTTCATTAATGTCTATTTCTTAGGGATGAGTCTAAAGCCAACGATACGTGGAAGAGTTGGCGGTGGGATCTAGGTACAGTCAAGGGCCCAAATAATCAGCTAGATATTCAGTCAAGCCCTTATAACATGGAGGAAGAGATAAAAGGCTTGTCATTAGTAAAAAGCCAACAGAATGGAGAATCCTCCCCAGTTTCACCCAACTTCCAGAAAGACATTTCCATTTACTTACGACAATCAGAGGAAAAAATGTCAACATCTCCTGTAAGTTATTTAATATTGTGAAGTACTAAAACTTCTACTATTTGAAGGTTCTTAAAACTATATTAGAAAAGATATTATGACATAGGTCTGTCAGAGTTCACACTTAGGTTTACAGGGTTGTTAATCTACACATTTAAACATATATAGTGCTGTAATGAACAGGCAATGTTGTTTATGTTTTAACATACATATTGAAATACTACACTTTTTCATCTGTTTGATTGGTGTTGTACAACTGCATATTAATATGTAAAGTATTTCTAGATACATTGTAAATATTAATGTATCACATCTGAGAGTTATTTTTGTGTGTGCATATTGTTTAAAATCCAAAGTGATAAGGTGTTGTGTACAATGAATCAACATATATTTTTTTTCATTTTCAGCCCCGAACTTCTGGTGGTCCATCTGCACCTGTTGGACTTCATAAGGGAAAAGAGCGTGAAGTTAAAAAATCACATGGTCAAAAACAAGAAAAAGAAAGAGAGGTTAAAGATGGTTTTGAGCAAAGACATAGAGAACCAAAAGAAAGTACTGACCATAAACATCGAGAGACAAAAGATGGATTTGATCATAAACAACGGGAAGTAAAAGATGGATTTGATCATAAGCAACGAGAAGTGAAAAGATGGGTTTGACCATAAGCATAGAGAAGTTAAAGATGGATATGATCTTAAACATCGAGAAATAAAAGACAGTTATGACTATAAACATCGAGAGATGAAAGATGGATATGATCACAAGCATCGAGAAATGAAAGATGGGTTTGATCTTAAACATCGTGAGATGAAAGATGGGTTTGACCAGAAACATCGAGAACGCATCGGAGACCATTCTTCACGAGATCATGAGGTCAGAGAACTTGGAGACAACAGGGATCGAGAAAGAGACTCGCATCTTCCAAAATCCCCAGTGTCACCCATTTCTCCCACAAAAATTAGTGCAACGAAAGGAGCCCCTACTGTGTCAACTGTTTTACATTCCCTTACTCTTGAGGTAATTTTTTTATTGTAGTGAAATAATATGTTCTGTATTCTTTCCTTCTTATTGTAAGGTAGTTTTTAATCACATCAGTATTATTGCTAATTAAAAAGTCCTTTTTCTTGCAACCAACTTTGATGCAAAATTAATATCTTATAGAATTTAAAACTATTATTTTTGTTGGTTATTTGCTACATCTAAATTGTTTGATGTTTTGTTACGGCCAATGAAAAAATAACTTTAAATCAATAAAGATAAATTATATTTTTATTTCTGTGTAACTAACATTGATCTGAAGGAAGACCCAAACATTATCTATTTTTTATTTTATTTAACTAGTTTCTTCGAAGATTGGTCCTGATTGCCCTTTTTTTTTTTTAGATATAAATAACGAACTATTTCAATAAGCCAACAAGTGATCAAAAGTAGTATTACTGTATATATTTATGATGGGTGAAAAAAATTATAGGACAGAAAACAACTTAAAACTTACTAGAATATCTTTAAAATATTAAGTTTGTATTAGTAATCGTACTGATGACATCCAAATTAATCATACTGACCTTTAAACAGATCCGTCAAGGGATAGAAACAGTTCCACTCCTAATATATAACTATACAATAACAAAAGTTACAGTTTTGATTTTAAATCATCCATCAGTCACCTAAAACTGAGAAAACGTTTTATAAGTTTGTGATTAAATTATAATTGTATGTTTTTTCATGATGTCATCCTCATTCTAGCTTATTATTCAATTCATCAAGTGAACATAAATAACTACACACTTCAGAAATTTTAAAGTAAGGTATGTTTTTTCCAAGTATTTGTGCTCTTAAGAGTACATTTATAATGTCATTACAAAAGTTTTATGTTTATTTCTAATTATAAATCTTGTACTAACTAAACCATACCAAAGACTATATCGCTAAGACAGCCCACTTTCTATCTCTACCAGCATAAAAGAATGTGGACTGCACCACATGGCAGTTGGTTTGATAACATTTACCAAGCTACGTATTTATGTGCACATTTTATGACATGTTCAGAGTTTACATAATGCAATTTGAATTTTTTTTTTATATTCTTTTTGAAAAGCGTTCATGTTGAAGGATGAAATAATATATTTGTGCTTTAGTGATTTATAATAAATAAGTGGCCACATTTACTGGCAAATGTTTAAGAAATTTGTGAGTCATTTACAAATCTCTATGATATCACATATATATTACTGAGAGAAAACAAGTAGCTTCTCTCCCTTTAAATTAAGCAAGGGGAAAAAGAACAATGATTGGGTACCATATTAAAATCACTAATATTATAACAACTTTTAAAATGATACCTTATTAATTTACTATATTTCTACAGTGATGTAGCTAGGCATACACATTATATATACACACACATGCGTATAGTTTTTTTGTGCTCATCGTAATTTCAGTGACTTTTCTCTAAAGTAATAGGATCAAAATATTACATTCCCAAGGAATTTAACTTTGCTTGAGGAATGCATGGTCCATTTCTATTCCTTTAGTTATGACTAATGAAAGTGAACATATTGCATGGATTAAATAAAAAAAGCTATTCAGGAGGAAATGCAACTTTACAGGAGGGAATGAGAGTGACAGTGTGTGTGTGTGTGTGTGTGCTGGGCAGTCTGAGAGAGAGAGAGAGATCTACCAGTGGACATAGAAGATCACAAATAACCATAGTAGTTGCATGGTACTAGATCTTGAGCGAGAGTGACAGTATGTGTGTGCTGGGCAGTCTGAGAGAGAGAGATCTACTAGTGGACATGGAAGATTACAAATAACCATAGTGTTCTCTGACACTCTGGTTATGAAAGACAATTTCAGGTGTAAACTAAATAACTTTATATATATATAAATTTTTTAGTTTTTGAAGTATCAGGCCGATTTCTGGTGACAGAGTGGCACTCCACCCGTGGTTCTGTTTGCTAACATGTTACTCTGTAATTGCTTTCATGAACAAGTCATACCTCCTTGCACTTTTTCAATGTTTCTTGAAATCTCGCAATGCTGAAAGTATAAACCTAGAAGTATATTGATTTTACTTTTCTGAAAAGTAGGTTAATATTTTAAATTTGAATTTCCAAATTTTTGATTAAAAATATGCAATTATACTTAAAATTAATTTCATTTCACAATTAACTTTGGGTTTCAAATCATTTCAAGCTAACCAAAGTGCAAAATAAAGTGGAAGGAAAAGAAATAAACAACAAATAGTTTTCCATCTTCCCCACGTACTTCAATTTTGTAGCAGCTGTCCTTTGAATATACATATTGGTCAGTCATTTAGATATGATTAGTTTATTTTTGCCTCTAGAGAAATGCTTGTTGACATTATTAATGAAGAGAAAACTATTGTAATAATGCTTCAAGTAACTGTTTTGATGTTACAGTTGCAAAGATATTTTAAGAGGTTTCAATTTATCTTTTCACCAAATAATAATAATGTATTTTATAAGAGTAGTTAATGTTTTAAGCAAACTGTACATCAGCACTAGTATCAACTTATCTTGAATGTGATAAATGCAGAATTTTTTAAGGAAATAGAAATGAACAGGTAAGATGAACTAAAATACAAGTTACGGTTTAAACTATGAAAGCTGGCTTAATAATGGAAACCAATAGGCCTAACATTAAATCACAAGATCTGGTATTAATGAAAAGCCTCTTGGGCATTGACTAGTGTGACCAAAAGATAGATCTGAAATGCTATTTTTACACCTCTAATTTTGGGACCAAAATGGACAAATTAAGAAGAAAATGAAAAATGAAAAAACATCTGTGGTTTTAATGATTTATTTCAATACTTTCTTTAACTACTCAGTCATGTTTTTAATTTTCAAATATATTTGATATTACTAAATGTTGCAAACATGTTTATTATGTGTTGTGCAAAGAAAGAGATTGCTCTAATGTTATCCTTATTTCAGCTTCAGAGGAAACACAGGGGAGATGCTGTTGAGAAACTTCACAATGCCTTTGATGTGGCAGAAAGGTCATGTCCTGGATTTAGTGATATCTTTGTCCAGGAGATTTTCCATCGATTGTTGCCAACTGCCAGTTCTTCTAGAGTTCAAGATGCCATCGACAGGCTGTCTAGGTAAAAAAAGAGAGAGAGAGATCCTTTCTTATAAATTTGTGGTTTGGGAATGCCACATTTGCTTTTTGTTAGTGAAGCATTTTATTTTTAATTTATGGTGGATTGCTGAATATACAATTCTGATAATAAAAATAAATTGTTCATTGGCATTGTTGGCCAAGGCTAGTAATACTGTTCACAAGTGAAATTTTACCGGCATAAGCTTGCATGGAAATTATAATTTATATATGAAGTGTTCTTGAAGGATATGTCAACTGTTTATATATATATAAATTCATGCTAAAAATGCACCTGTTAATAAGCATATCAGTCACTCCATTGCATAGTTTTTGTTACTACATGTTAACATGTAGATGACATTAAGCCGTTATATGTATAGGTTGTCCAAGCTAAGTTGCATAAAAAGAAAGTATATCATTTTGTTAGTAACAATTGGTCTCTTAAAGAAGAAATATAAAATTTTAATTTGTAGTATAAATTTATGCATATTGTTTTCATTATCCCTGCAAGTAAAAAAAAAAAAATTATCAACAGTGAAATTTCAAGGAAGCTTGAAGAAAGCAAGTCAAACCATGTTATCAAAAAATTTTCTTTATTGAATTAAAAATACATTGGCATATTATTTTTATGTTCCATTGTAAGTTTATTATTGTATGGTATTTCTTTTAGATACACTGTAATATGAAAAACAAGAAATCTCTTCCTGAACTTTCTAAATATATATAATATTAGTTCTATCCTTATTAAAATGAAGAAAAATGAGTTAAAGAAAATCTGAACTTCATACTGATCAATCACTTTAAATATCGAAAATATTAATGTATAAGTCAAATATTGTTTATCTTCAACAGTAGTCTATATTTCTTCTATTTGTAATAAAGCTTTTTTTATTGTCGTGATAAGAAAACTTACTTTTGACATATCACCATTTTTAAAATAGTGGTTACTAAAATATTTTGCCTTTTCATATACAATACAAAACAATAGCAGCAAAACCTGCTTGGTGAATTGAACTAACGAGAATAATAAGTAAATGAATCTTCAAGACAGCCAAGAAAAGGAGAAAAACTAAGCTAGAATTAGCTTACAAACTTGACACATTCTACTTCAAAATGTATGGATACTTAACAGAAGTGAACTAAGCTAGCACCTTTATTACAGACTATAGAAGCTACTTTTGTAGTTTTATTTTCTAGTTGACCAAACATGAACAGTTAGTGACATACCTTTGCACCCAGGTACAAAAATCAGCGATTAAACATAAGGACATTTCTTATGGATGTTTTTGTAAAATAAAATAACATTGTAGGCTTCTTACCAGGTTAATTTTTACAAAAGGAGGGATTCACAATAGAGCCCTTAAGTGTCACCCACTAGAAGAAATAAGCCAAGTTCAATACTTATAAAATCCTTTCCTTCAGCTGCCAACCTAACAATGCTACTTAAAAAAAAAGAGGACAACTCTATTCTTTAATAGCATGACATTTCTCTATGTGTTGAATACAAATTTGTATTAGTTAGACAAAAAGTCTATCCTTGTTGATAGGTATGGTTATTGCCAATCTGTTGTAATAATGGCAACAGTACATTTATTTTTGGTTGGATGCTGCTTTGGGAAATTTAAAGTACTATGTTTAAGATTTAAGAAAAATACAATTATTTCAGGATGGGTTTGACTACTAAGATTGTTTGTTTTTTTCGTTATCCTAAAATGGTTTTTGAAAACTAACTGCTTACATGCCCCCACTTAAGTGCATTTATATTATAGCCATTCTACTAACAAAATGATAAACGTTTGTTAGTGATGTTAAGAAATTAGAATAACACAGAACTTAAAGAAGTGTCCAAAGTGTAGCTTACCAATTTTACAGTTTTATTTTGTTATAAAACTTAATGTTTTGAAATAATAAACTCTGTCTATTTTCTAGGGATGGTTCTTAGGCTGTACAAGCCTGGGTTACAATGGCCCGTAAGAAACCTTCACTTCTTTACCTGAGGTGCCTGAAGACAACATATTGAACCTCATCATTCCACCCGTGCTGCTAGGTGTTACACTCTGTACAGGGTACAAACACAGAATTTAATTTTTTAGAACTCACCTGGCAGATAAAGTTTGTTTAGTAGAAGATTGAGAGCACCTAGGGGTGGAAGTGAGGTTAACTCCCCAACTGGAAAATTTTAAATATGGTGTATTCCATGCTCCTTGCCTCCCTAAACTGCAGAAGTTAGGGTTCCATGTTATTCTCATAATCATGTAAAAATTATAGTTGTTTCTGAAGGGTAACTAATGTTGGGTTTGTTTTCTTCTATATCTTGTCCTGATAGTGTTAATAATAAATTCCATCTGGAAATAACCTCAAGAAGAGTTATGTAACAATTAAGTTTTACTATAATGTTAAAAAGAAAGGTTTAGATATTGATGTGTACAGTTTATATTTACTGTAATGATGAACTTATGAAGAAAAAAAGCTTTTATTCCAGGTTTCAGGGACTCAAAGGTCTGCCTTTTACATGCAAGTGTAAATTATTTTAGCATCTGCCTCTTCTTTATGTTGTTAGGGAACTTAAGAGTAAAATGTGTATGGTCAAGTTGTTTTAGATTTCCAATGTTGTTAAGTGTAAATAAGACAAAGACCTGAAATAAAGAGCCATTTGTTCCTTAATCTAGATTTTCCATTATCACTTCATTCTCAGTATTGCCCACGTACTGAATTTCAAGCTGAACTTAAGTTAAAATTTCATCAAAGTGTGTCACTCTTACCTAACACACAATTGATATGGTTAATGTACATGAAAAGAGCTTTTTTTTTTCATCAGCTGATAAGAATCTCAGTATTTGGCAGTTTTTTACATCTGTTGTTTGACTGCATTCAAATACAAAGCACAAGTACCACAAACAAACCCTTAAATTCATAAGTTGCACCCAAATGAAAAATTAATGAAAAACCCAATTTAACTCAAACTAAGGATTCATTAACACCTATGTCCATGCTATAGAGAAGTCGTACAACATACACATGTATAACGGCAAAAACTAGAAATGTCATAATAAAGCTGTTTCTAATAGTTGTACCATAAAATTATAACCTACAATTAGTAGGCTTTACAGAAAAGAATTTAATACATACCTTTCAGTATATCTTCCAAAAATGTACTAAAGACTGAAAATTAATAAACACTAACAGAACATGTCAAAATATATAAATTTATGGTATTTCACTCAATTTACATTCATAATTAACCATACAAAATATTTGGCTACTAATATATGCTCTTTTGAAAAGTTATTTCAAACTAAGAATCATCTCCAGCAATGTTAGTACTGAGAGTACTCACCCTTCCTTCTAAAGTTTGAATCAGTCGTTCACATTTTTGCACTTACTAAGAGAATTCTCAGAACCCAACAAAACAATGAACTTGTAAACATAATTTCAAAAAATTACACAGTAAACCTATTAGAAACTCAGAAACAAAACATGCTTATTGCATGTTAATTTTCTTTGAAATGTAACATTTGTAATTAGCATAAAACAACACACAGTACTCTGAAAATTGACTTAAAAAATCATTTTAATGCTACAGTATTAAATGAAAAACTTTGCAGTAGAAAAGGGTTGTTTTTATTAAATTCACTGAAATTAACATGCATTCATAAGAGTCACTCTAAGTAGGCCTTAGACCTATACATTTCTTTTGTGTATTTATTTTTCTTCTTTATATCCATATGCATTCCACGGAAGTTCATTTTTTACAAGTGATATTATTAGTAGAACCTATCAAAATTAGACAAAATATATAGAAATATATATTTCAACCCACGGTCCAAAA